ATCTGCCCATATGTCCCCATTCCAGGTTTCAGGATCCCATTTTTTCCCAATGAATGCCCTCACTTTAACTTCAGACACCATTCTGGATTAGTAATTCAATTAGCTTTGTAATTCAGCCACCCTTACAGAGCACAACTGGAAACTCTGTGGTCTTTTATACAATGCTTAAGCTGTAACTTGCAGCCCTGAAGTCATCTCGCTCATTCACCACCTTGTCTAGTGTAAGTAGGACCAACCAACCAGCTTCCTTATACTCCTCATGCTGACAAAATTGCAGAAAACTATCAAATATGCAATCACCCAGAGCCTCACTTCTCAAATGTACTTGATCTATTGGTGGTGCTATTTTGCACATTAATGTTGCCACCTCATGCTGTGGATTAGCAGGTCCCTCTTTACTAATGGAAGCAGGGTCATCAGTGCCTTTACAATTAATCAAATTGGAGAACAAATTTAGGAAGCCCATCCTTATGATTTTGTCTCTCTAGAACCATTCTCAAAGTGGCTTCTTATATATGGGAAGAAGACCACATACCCAAAGCCGCTACTCAGTTGCTTGTGGTAGATCCCACCATGGAGTTGATTGCCAGTCTCATCATGGGGAATAACTACCACCAGCTGCCCAGCCACTCAACCAGGCCTAGCCAAGTTGACATACAAACATAAATACCACAGGTGGTATTCATATTATTATATACATTTGTCAAAACATGGACTCTTAAAAGTTTGTAAGTGGCCATGTAAGGTACAAATATTGCTCTCAACTTGTATGGAGCAAAAGAGAATGAAGGAAACCAAACACTCAAGAAAGAAACTGGTTCATGGGACTAATAGCCACACAAATCATGGTCTCTTCTAATCTGAGTCCAGAAGAACTAGATGGTGGCTGGGACTACTACCAACCCTTCTAATCAGGGGGGAAAAAAAAGTCCAAGTTAGAATGGGAGAAAAACCTAGAAAACTCAAATTTATATATATATATATATATATATATAAAGTCTAGACTTACTGGACTGGTAGATACTGGAGTAACCCCGAGACTATTTCCTTAAGATATTCTTTTAACCTAAAAGTGAAACCACTCCTGGAGGTCACCTCTCAGCCAAACAATTGATTGGATTATAAGATAAATAATATCACCTGTGAGTAATGTGCTTCTTAAATAATTAACTATAGGAGACCAAATAGTCAACATTTACTCAAAAGCAAAGATGAGAGGGCAAGAAGAGGAGAAACTAGCTCAATGGAAACAGAATAAAATAGGAACCTAATTCACTGTGTGCATCATTTTGTTGTACTTTGGTGATTTGTGTGTTTCTGGGAGGCCAGAGGCTTTACTACCAGTATTTCGCATACCAGCAGGGTCAACCATGGTGGACAGGTTTCATCAGCTCTTCCAGATTAAGATGGACTGGGAAAAAGGAGAGGGCCCATCCACTTCTGAAAAACTGGCCAGTGAAAACCTTATGAATAGCAATGAAACACTTCTGATACATTACTGGAAAACTGTATGAAGAGAGTGAACCATTGTATGATGTAGTGCCAGAAGATGAGCACCTCAGGTGGGAAGACCCTCAACATATGACTAAGGAAGAGCTGCCTCCTCAAAGCAGTTGACCTTAATGATATGAATGGAGTAAAGCTTTCGGGACCTTCATTTCGTGATGGGATATGACTCAAAAAGAGAAAAAACAACTGTAAACATTCATTAATAATCAGAATGTGGAATGTACAAAGTATGAATCTAGGAAAATTGGAAGTTGTTTAAAAATGAAATGGAACACATAAATATGCTAGGCATTAATGAGCTGAAATGGACTGGTATCCGCCTTTTTGAATCAGACAATCATATGGTCTACCATTCTGGGAATGACAAATTGAAGAGGAATGGTGTCACATTCATTGTCAAAAAGAACATTTCAAAATCTATCCTGAAGTACAATGTCCTAGGATAATATCCATATACCTACAAAGAAGACCACTTAATATTACTATTACTCTGATTTATTAACCAACCACGAAAGTGAAAGATGAAGGAATTGAAGATATTTACCATCTTCTGCAGTCTGAAATTGACCAAACATGCACTCAAGATGTATTGATAAATACTGATGATTGCAATGTGAAAGTTGTAAACCAAAAATAAGCATTGGTAGTTGGAAATATGGCCCTGGTGATAGAAATGATGCTGGAGATTACATGATAGAATTTTACAAGACCAATGACCTATATATTATAAATACCTTTTTTCAACAACATAAACAGTGACTATACATGTGGACTTCACCATATACAATACACAGAAATCAAATTGATTACATCTGTGGAAAGAGGCAATGGAGAAGCTTAGTATCATCAGTCAAAACAAGGCCAGGAGCTGACTATGGAAAGACCATCAATTGCTCATATGCAAGCTCAAGTTGAAACTGAAAAAAATTAAAACAATTCCACAAAGACCAAAATATGACCTTTAGTATATCCCCCCTGTATCTAGAGACTACCTGAAGAATAGATTTGACACATTGAACGCCAATGGCAAAAGCAAAAGGTCATTAAAAAGACAGGAAAGAAAGAAAGGACCAAAATGGATGTCAGGAGAGACTATGAAAATTACTCTTGAACAGAGAGTAGCTAAAGCAAAAGGAAGAAATGATGAAATAAAAGAACTGAACAGAATATTTCAAAGGGCAGCTTAAGAAAACAAAATAAAGTATTATAATGAAATGTGCAAAGACCTGGAATTAGAGAACCAAAAGGGAAGAACATGCTCAGCATTTCTCAAGCGGACAGAACTGAAGAAAAAAATTCAAGCCTTGAGTTGCAATATTGAAGGATTTTATGGCCAAAATATCAAATGATGCAGGAAGCATCAAAAGAAGATGGAAAGAATACACAAAGTCACTGTACCAAAAAGAATTGGTCAACAATCAACCATTTCAGAAGGGGGCATATGATCAAGAATGAATAATAGTATTGAAGGAAGAAGTCCAAGGTACACTGAAGGAATTGGCAAAAACAAGGCTCCAGAAATTGATGGAATATAGATTGATAGTTTCAATAAATGGAGTCAGTGCTGAAGGTGCTTATTTGTTTATGCCAGGAAATTTGGAAGACAGCTACTTGGCCAACTGAATGGAAGAGTTCCACATTTGTGCCCATTCCAAAGAAAGGTGAGCCAACAGAATGTGGATGTAATTGAACAATATCATTGATATCACACACAAGTAAAATTCTGCTGAGGATAATATAAAAATGGTTGCAGCAGTATATTGACAGGGAACTGCCAGAAATGCAAGCTGGATTCAGAAGAGGATGTGGAATGAGGGATATCACTGCTGATGTCAGATGGACCCTAGCTGAAAGCAAAGAACACAAGAAAGAAGCTTATCTGTATTTTATTGAATATGCATTTGACTGTGTAGATCATAACAAATTATGAATAACATTGAGAAGAAAGGGAATTCCAGAACATGTAATTGTGCTCATGATGAACCTGTACATAGACCAAGAGGCAGTCATTCAAACAGAACAAGGGCATGACCAATCACTAGAAAAGAAATCATGACAGGTAAAGTAGAGGGTCAGTGAAAATGAGGGAAACCTTCTGTGAGATGGATTGACACAACAATGGGCTCAAATATTATGTGGGATTATGAGGATGGTGTAGGACGAGGTAACATTTCATTCCATTATACCAATGGTAGCCACAAGTCAGAGCCAACTCAGTGGCAACTAATAATCACCACCCTTGACTGGGCCATGATTCTAAGTGGTTTAACAGTTATGATGTAGTTATACACCCATGTTGAGATCTGATGTAATATGATGACTTCTGTGATGAGATCTTCTATAAGCAGCCAATCAGTTGAAGGGGAGTTTCCTTCAGGACGTGGCCTGCTTCTGATATATATGAAAAATCAAAAACAAACGCATTGTCATCAAACTCATTCCAAGGAAACATTGGGCTTCTAAGGCTATATATCTTTACAAAAGCAGACTTCCTCATCTTTCTTCCAAGGAGTGGCTAGCAGGTTTGAACCACTGACCTTCTGTTTAGTAGCTGACTGCCTTAATCGCACTATACCACAAGAGCTAGCTCTTCTCTCTCTCTCTCTCTCTTTCTCTCTCTCCCTCTCCCCGCTTCCCTCTCTCTATATATATATAAAAGAGAGAGAGAAAAAAGAAAAAAAAAGCTCTGGCAAAGCACTCTGGCTTTTTGCTTGATCTGGATCCTGCCTCTGGCTTATCATCTAATCTCTGGTTTTGGGCTTGAATCAGTGGCCTGTCATATTGCCTGCCAATCTTGTGATTGCTGCCCTTCTCAGCCTGTGAGTCAACAGCTGTCATCTTACAGGCCAGTCTTGGATGCGTTAATTTCTGAAGTCAGCAGCCTGCTGTATTGCCTGCTAATCTTGGGTACATCAGCCTCTGCTGCTACATGAGTCAGGAGAAAGCTCCAGCTTGACTCCAGCTTGACATCTGACCCATGGACTCAGGACTTGCCAGCCTCTACAACCTCATGAGCCATTTCTTTGAGATAAATTTCCCCCTCTCTCTCTCTGTATTTCATTGATTTTACTAAAACCCAGCCTAAAACATCATGTCATTATATATTGGCAGTGGTTTTTCATTTTTAGCGGCACAGAAAATAATATGCTTCTTACAGTTAATGGCACTATAGATTTGATAAAATATGGAATCATTACATTTTGTGCTGATCCCCATATGCAAAGTGGGAATAACATCCCTCCCTCAGCCGACCACTATAAGGCTAAGGGAAACCATATCTGCAGCTGGTTTCTGAAGGGGTCAGGCCCCCACCTCCCTCTCTCAGCACAGCCCTTTGGCAGGGCAAAGGTGGGCTTCTAACAAGCAAGTTGTCAGGAGCTGGGAACTGGGACAGTCAGTGCCCGGGTTTGTTTGTCTGTTCAGATGGAGCCCTCGGCACCAAGGCCAAGCAAATATTTGTAGTTATGGATTAACCTGAGTCCCAGGTTGTGATGGCGGCTGGAGGACGACTCTGTAGGTTCCCTAAGGCCTATCCTGGTAAGCCCCCAGCCCAGCATACTTTTTGCTCTTAAAGCAGATCTATACGGAGGGCTAGAGGGAGGGGAGAAGAGAGCTGAAGAGTGGTGAGGGTCAGATCCTCAAACTGGGTTTTGGAAGGCTTGCTTGAGCTCCAGATAAGGAAATCAGAGCCCTGCCAGGCCAAGGCCAGGCCAAGGTACTGGTGGGCATCTGCCTCAGACCAGTGTGCCTTAGCCTCTCTGCTTGTACTTCCTTCTTCCAAGACTGCCAGACAAGTGGATGTTAGCTGACAGCCTCTAGGTCCCAGGCCATCCCCAGAGGTAGCTTGGAGCCCAGGACCACCCATTCTTCCTACCCCCACCCCACAACTGCAAAACCCCTGGGCTGTCTGATTTAAACAAATGTTGGAACCAGCCTAAGAGGGATGTAGCAAAGGTTGAAAGTGAGGCCAGACAGGAGTACGTGGATGCACCCAAGCAGGCTTACCTACTTGGTCTTTCAGTCCACAGAAGGTTTCTTAGTTTCTTGCCAGCAGAGTTAGACCATAGCTGTGTGTGCAGCCAGCCTGGGCTTGAGTCTCTGCTCTGACTTCCTGGTCACTGATTTTGAACAAGGAACTTAACTCTTCAACTTCCCTTCTATGGCATGAGGGTGACATTACTAATACTTACCTCTTGGGTGAAATAATAATAGCTAATGTTTATTGAGGGAGCTCTGGTGGCACAGTGGTTAAGTGCTTGGCTACTAACTAAAAGATTAGCAGTTAAAACCCACCAGCCACTCCACAGGAGAAAGATCTGGCAGTCTGCTTCCATAAAGATTATAGTCATAGAAACCCTGTGGGGCAGTTTTACTCTGTCCTTTACGGTTACTGTAAGTTGCAATTGACTTGAGTAATGGGTTTGGGTTTTCAGTTTAATGTTCATTGGGGGCAGTGATGGTTCAGTGGTAGAATTCTCACCTTCCACATGATTCCCAGTCAATGCACCTCATATGCAGCCACTACCTTGGAGGCTTTTGTGCTTCTATAATGCTGAACAGGAGCCCCTAGGTGTTGTAAATCATTAAGTGCATGACTACTAACCAAAATATTACTTGTTTGAACCAAAAAGAGGCACCTTGAAGACAGGCCTAGTGATTTGCTTTCATAAGATTACAGCCTTGAAAAAGCTTTGGAGCATAGTTCTGTTCTGCACACATAAATTCATTGTGAGTTGCAATCAACTCCACAGCAATGAACAATAACAACAACATGATGCTGAACAGGTTTCAGAAGAGCTTCTGTACTAACATGAACTGGAAGAAAGGCCTGGCAATCACAGGGATGACACAGGACCAGGCAGTGTTTTGTTCTGTTGCCCATGGTATTGTTATGAGTCAGGGACTGACTCAATGGCAGCTAACAACATTTATTGAATATTTATTGTGTGAAACCTTGTTTTAATAGTTTTGTGGGGGTTAATTCATTGTTTTTCATAACAACCCTACAAGACAGAAATTCAGTTACTTTATCTATTTGACAAATGAGGAAACTGAGGCATAGAGCAGTTAAATCTCTTGCTCAGCACTGCCAGTAAACGGTGGAGTTGGGATTTGAACTCAAGTGGGGTTCAACATCTGCTCTTTGAACCATGTATAAATTGCTTAAAAGATACAAATAAATGTTCACTGTTATTCTTAGCCTGTCAGACCAGCAAAGTCATAGCCACACATCTTGCTCAGGAATTGGGGCACAAGTGGGCCACAAATATTCATGGTGCACCATGATGTGCAAGGCACATGAGTTTCTCTGGTGTTCATGAGTATTCTGTTCCCCTTCCCTTCCTCTCATCTTCCTTCAGGTTTAGGGCAGGTGTGACTTTAACCAACACAGAGAATGAGACTGAGGCACCAGATGACTGTCTGTGGATACACACCCCTCTTCCTAGTGAGCAATAAGTCCAGCCCAAACTTTAGGTTTGAAAGCAAGAAACAAAGAAACAGGCCCTTTCATTGAGCCTCCTCCCAGGGGGGCACAAGCAGAGCAGGGGCCTTGCAGAGCTGCCAGGAGCTCAGAATCTCTTCTCTGACAGGTGTATGCAACTCCAGAATGTGGCAGCTCATAAACCTCTTACTGTTTGTGGCCACCTGGGAAATTTCTGGCACACCAGCTACTCCTGGTAAGGCCATCCTTCTACCTCTCCCCTGCCCTCCCCTGACACAGTCATCTCTGGCACCTGCCCAAGACACATACTTCCCCATATGCTCCTACTTGGTATGAAGATGACAGGCAGGTGTGGAAGCTGCCTGAGTGCCCCAGGCATGGCAGCTGTGGAAGTCAGTCATACTGGCAGGAGGCCCAAGGTCATGCCTTGCTCAACGGTGACAGGGTCCCACCCATATCGCTCAGAGTGATTCTCCTCCCTCAAATGCACATCTGCCTAGTCATTGTCCTGCCCTTGCCCTGTCTCTGGTCTCCATAGGCAACAGGAATAGGCCTGACTCCAATGGAGGGAAGCCTGAGGGCAATGATCTGTGGCCCGTTCTGCAGCTGCTTCCCTCTCACACCTCCAGCCTTCCAGAGGCCACTGGGCTGAGTTTTGGCATTTATGCCCTTTCTTGAGCTGCTTGTCTGCCTCAGGTGGGCTTTCTTCCCACTTCCTGTCTACTGTTTGTGTGAGTTCCTTTTTCCAGACTCAGCTCAGCAGACTTCCTCTAGTAAGCCTTTTGTGGCTTGCCTTTGATCCTGCCCACCCCCCATGACCTCTTCTTCCTCACTTCCCCTGACTTGACCCCTTCCTCCTTGCTGCCCCACTACACTCAAGATAGTACCTCTGGAGCCCAGAAGACACTTGGCTCAGAAGACACTTACTCACTGGAGGCAGGTTTGCCAGTCTTCCTGGTATGTCAGCCCAAGGGGAAGGTCACTGGGAATGCGTGAATGAAAGTAGGGGGCTTCTTAAGGAGGGGAGAGAGGAGTGGGTGAGGGCACCAAGATAGGGCTGAAAAAGGTGTATTTGGGGAACAACGAGACTGATTTAGCTTTGTACTCATATTAAGAATAGAAATAACAAGAGCAGCAATGGCAATAGTATCTGGCATTAGTTATTGGGTGCTTATTTCTGTGCCAGGCATCTGGGTAGTACAAATAATTTAGTGCTCAACTACTAACCAAAAGGTTGGCGGTTCAGACGCACCCAGAGACACATCGTAAGACAGGCCTGGTGCTTTGCTTCCTAAAAGCAGGGTTTCAAACTTGTTCAATTCAGTTCAGTTGTGGCTGATGAAGTGAAATCAGAAGAGGTCCAAATTTTTAAAATTTGAGTGAAGCAGAAAGATAACCAGTGAAAATTATGGGTCGAAGTCCTGGAATGGGAGACTAGGAAAAGGCATAGTGAGCCTTTTCAGGAATCTGATACAGGAGATTGGATTATTGCCAGGACTGTGGAAGATGAAATATTCAAAGTGGTGGTGACGGCCACCATCTTTGAGCAGGGCACTTCTGTTGCCAAATCTGCAAGTCATGATATTGGTTGCCTAAGGCACTTGACTGCTAATCAAGGCTGGCGGTTCAAACCCACCAGCCACTCCTTGGAAGGAAGGTTGGGCAATCTACTTCCATAGTGATACTGCTTCGGCAACCCAAGGAGGGGTCACTGTGAGTCGGGGCCAACTTGACAGCACATAACATAACATAACATGCAGTGCACATGCTGCCCTTGTTTCCTAGAAGGAAGATTAAATTTCTAGCAGGGTTTCAACTGTAATTTTTCCCATTCTGTTCCATTTAATTGGTCATGACTAAACTGGGAAGAACAGTCCTGCCTAAAAGGCACAATTTTGAAAACCCTATGAAACTGCTCTACTTTGCGTATGTGGGGTTGGTATGAGTCAGAATTGACTTGACAGCCACTAACAACTTACAGGGAGCTCTGGTAGCATAGTGGCTAAGACACTTGCCTGCTAACCAGACGGCTGGCGGTTGAAACCCACCAGCCACTCCTCGGAAGGAAGGTTGGGCAATCCTACTTCCGTAGTGATACTGCCTCGGAAACCCAAGGAGGGGTCGCTATGAGTCGGGGCCAACTCGACGGCACATAACAACAACAACAACAACTTACATGATTATCTCATTTTTGTAGTGGTTACGGCATTTGGCTACTAAACAAAAGGTTAGCTACTAAACCCACCAGCTGCTCCATGGAAGAAAGATGAGGCAGTTTGCTTCTGTAAAGATTTATAGCCTTGGAAACCTAATGGGGGTCACTATGAGTCAGAATCAACTTGATGGCAGTGAGTTTGGTTTGGTTTTTTGGAAACTGAGTTTTAGAGAGGTAGACACTGACTCATGGTCATGCAGAAGTCGAGCTGGGACTCAAAGGGATCTCTGTCTGTCTCTGGAGCAGATGGCGTTAGAAATCAAGTCTCCTGTCCTCCAGCACTCACACTCCTCTTTGTGGGTGAAAGAGCAAAGGAGAAGAGGACAGTATGATTATCTAGGAACATAATCATCTTCAAGCACCCTGAGACAAAAACCTCTCAGAGTTTTTCCCAGCTTGGTTCTCCTAGAGACCCTTGGGTCCGAGTGCCCTCAGGCCCCTCCACCAAAGTGAGCCACGCTCCCTCCAGATTTGGTGTTCTTCAGTGGAGAGCATGCCCACCAAGTGCTACGGATCCACAAGCGTGCCAACACCTTCCTGGAGGAGCTCATGGCAGGCAACCTGGAGCGGGAGTGCATGGAGGAGACCTGTGACCTGGAGGAAGCCCAAGAGATTTTCAAAAATGTGGATGACACGGTAAGTCTGCCTACAGCTTCCCAGCACAGGTGGGTGCCAAAAAGCCAGGCTGGGGCCCAGAGGAATGGTTAAAGACTGAGAACTGGCCTCTGGGGTGGTGAGCACCAGTCCCTTCTGGTCATAGCTTGGTGGTGGGTGAGTGGGATGACTAGGACTCTGGCCCTATGACCTTGGTCAGGCACAAGTGACTGCAAGAAAAGAACTCTTTAGTTAGCTCCAGGAAAGAGGGTGGGCAAGCCCTTAGCTGGGATTCTCACCTAGCCTCATTGCAGGTAGTTCCATCTACCCTCTATTCACAACTTGCTGCCACAGCCTCCCATTTTTGCTCTCCACCACTGTCTCCCTCTCTGTGGCTATAAAGCCACCATCCCTGCTTGCATTCACCTGCTGATCAAGGGGCATGTAATCCAAGACTCCTCAGTGTCTCTGCACATACATTCATGTCTGTGCCTCATTGAAATTGAAAATCTTATTGCTCAGGAGATTTGAGGCTAAGAGTGGTCCAGAGCCCCTAGGGCCCTGTGGAGGTGGCAATGAGGTGATAGGATGGGTTTGGTAAGGTAGGTGATTTCCTGATTTGAGGCCAGCCTGTCACCAGCAGAGTCCCCAGCCCCCAACCCCCACAGGCTCAATTCAGCTGCACAGACCTGGAGCTGTGCCAGCTTGGCCTGCTTCTCTCCCCTTGCTCTTCCTCAGCTACTTCCCCATTTGCTCCCCTTTATATTCCCACTGCCTGTTTTTCCAGAAGGCACCAAAACGATTTTTTCCCACACGTGCAAATCTGAGCATATCACATTGCTCCTGTGCCCCCACTCTCCTTCTAGAGATACAACCTGAGCTGCTTGTCAGGGCACCACAGGGCCACTGCCCACCTCAGCTTCTCCTCTACTCCAAGTCTCTCCTCTCCACACTGTGCTTCCCCTACTCCCTTTTCCAGCCCCTTGTGATGGCTTAGGCAGTGAGTCCCAGAGTCAGTATCACCTGGCACCTAGGTGGAAATGCAGTATCTTTGCTGCCCCAGATTCTGGACCAGCAATCTGTGCTTTAACAAGGAGATCCTGTACACACCCTACTCTGAAAACACCTGGCTTAAGGACAGACTGAATGAGTGAGAAGTCTAAAGCTGCAGGCAGGAGTCCATGGGACTTCAAGGAACAAGAGCAGGGATACTGGGGGGTAAGGGTGCTGGGGGGTAGGGGTCAGGGGTTGGTCTTGGAGGCAGGAGGAAGAGCGTGGCCTTACTCGGGGTGCAGCAGCGCCAGAGGCAGGGGACAAGCAAAGGTTCCTTACTCTGGGTCTGGAAGTTCGCCCTCCCTTCTCTCGCTGCCTGCCTAGATGCTGCCCCTTCCCTTTCTCTCCACAGCTGGCCTTCTGGTTCAAGTACCTCGGTGAGTGCATTCTAGACCCTTGTGACTGTGCCTGCACGGTTCCTCCACCCCTGACCTCTTCCGTCCCTTCCTCTCCTTGTCAAGGTTGACGGGCGGGGCCATCTGGGTCGCTGGGCGGGCCAGGAAGGGGGCTGGCTGCACTAGTCACCTCTCCCACCCCGTGTGGCAGACGAAGACCAGTGCGCGTCACTGCCGGCTGAACACTCCTGCGACAGCCCATGCTGCGGGCACGGCACGTGCATCGATGGCATCGGCAGCTTCCGCTGCGATTGCGCCCGGGGCTGGGAGGGCCGCTTCTGCGCACACGGTGAGGGGCTAGGCTCCTGAGGAGGGGCGGGCACAGGGCGCCCAGCGCAGGGTCTTTTCCGCGTGGATTCCCACGAACCTGGTTGGCCCTACCACACCGTGAGACTACGTGTTCAAACGTTGTCGACCCGAGATCGGAGCTTGTTAGCCGTTAGCCTTGGGCGCAGTCCGGGAGTGCAGCGGAGGGATGGGGGTCTCTTGTGTGGCTTCGGGCTGGGCCTTCACCTTGCAGCCATTGCACCTCTCCCCGCCCAGAGGTGCTCTTCTCCAATTGCTCGGTGGACAACGGTGGCTGCGCGCATTACTGCTCGGAGGAGGAAGGCGGGCGCCGCTGCAGTTGCGCCCTCGGCTACCAGCTGGGTGACGACCTCAGGCAGTGCGAGCCCGCAGGTGAGGGCCCTCGTCTGCCCTCCCCCAGCCTTGTTCCCAAGAGCCTGTAGCACTGGAATCCCATCCTAGTGTTAGCATGACGTGTGCTGTAGAGGCCCAGAGGGAAAACCACTTAAAGGGGCGCACGGTGAGGTAGTGGAGAGATACACAAGGGCTTGTCTGGGATTGTTTGTTGAAGGACGGATAGAGCTTTGGTGATGGAAGACGAGCCCAACCCAACCCAGGGAGTGCCAGCGTTCATGCTGCCTTCTTCTAGGTGTCCCTGGTTCCCTCGAGGATACTTCCCAGAGCGAGGATACTTCCCAGAGCGAGGATACTTCCCAGAGCGTGAGCCCATAGGTTTATTCATATCCCAAAATTGGAATGTGCTGAGTCAGAGCCAGGCATCAGGAATCCTCCTGGATCTGTCTTGGATGAGGTTATTCCTTCGGACAAATTGTCCAACCCAGAATTTTCAATGTCCCTTCACTTCTTGCTTCTCTAGAAGAGGAGAGACAGGAACCATGATTCTACTTGTTCTGTTTCCCTTTGTATACATGTTTATTTCTATAAAATTTATAAATGTACAAAGTTTAAGAAGTCAGTTTTGCAACTCTTCCAATGAAAAATAGCAGTTTTTGTTCAAATTTGCTTAACCTTCCTTACCCTTCATTCTAGAATAGCATCTTATTTTGTTATTTCTTGATTTCTCCATCTTAAGGATCACCTAATGACTCCCCACTATGGAATAGTGACCCCTCACTGGGTTTCCTAGGCTGTAAATCTTTACAAAGTAGATTGCCCTGCACCAACTTCCTTTCACAGAGGGGCTGATGGGTTTGAACCACCAGCCTTCTGGTTAGCAGTCAAATGCCTTAGGCACTGCACCATCAATGCTCCTTTTAATATAATAGCATAAATAAAATGTCAGCTGAACCATGTAGTATTTTTTCTTTCTTTTTATTGTGATTTGGGTGAAAATTTACAGAGCAAATGCACTTTCCGTACAGCAGTTGACATACACTTTGTCTCATGACATTGACCACAATTTACCACAGTGCAACAGCTTCCCTCCCACTTCCTCCCCACAGTTACCTCTTCCCTGTGTCCATCCCTCCATGCACTCCTACCCCTGAGCTATCTCCCTGTGCGTAAGCAGACCTTCTTTCTCCCATGCTTGTTCTCTCCAAGGAGTGTAGCTACCTCAGGTAAATGTTCAATTCATATGCCTGTCTATTGTTTGGCTGGAAGCCACAGGCATGTGTTCAATTCCAGAGCTGAAGGGCAGCTAGGGGCCATAGTCTCAGTGGTTCTACCAGGCTCTATCCAGCCAGCAAACCTGGTCCCCCCTCCCCTTTTGTTTTCTCCAAATGTTCCACATTGTTCTCCCTGTCTATCCAGGATCTCCTATATAGATCCTCTTCCAAGTGGTTGACAGTAGTAGCCGGGCACCATCTAGTTCTTCTGGTCTCATAGTCATATAGGCCGCAGATTGGATGGTGTACCAGTCGCTAGAACTAATTCTTTCCATGAATTTTTGGTTTTCTTCATTCTTCTTGGCTCTGGATGAGGAGAGACCCATTGTTGCATCTAGATGGCAGCTTGCATGCTTTTAAGATCCCAGTCACTACTTGCCACAGTAGGAGGTGGAATAATGTTTTGTGTAGTATGTTCTGCCAATTGAGCTTGATGTCCTCTGCAACTGTGGTCCCGAGCCCACAGGTTTAACTACTCGGTCCCTCTGGGTAGCTGGCTGTGACCAGGCAGTGACCACAACCTTGCCTCTTGTCAGCTCCACTATACACCTGGGAATTCAGATCATGCACATAAAGTTATAGGACCGTTGTTCATGTAGTATATTTTTATGACATATCCTTTCTTATACATTTTTTTGTTTATCCTGGCATTGAGAATAATACTGTTTTTCTTTGAGTTTTCTGAGTTATTATCATAAATTTATCCCCAAAATCTCTACCAGGAAGATAAATCTCTACTATTGAGTTGATTTGACTCATAGCGACCCCTCCTTGGGTTTCCAAGTTGGTATCTCTAGGAAAGTAGATTGCCCAGTCTTCCTTCTGAGGAGTGGCTAGTGGATTTGAACTGCCAGCCTTCTGGTTAGCAGTCAAATTCTTGGGCACTATGCCACCAGAGCTCCCATGGACATATTTAAATCCAAGTAATTGGTCAGTTTCATCCTTCTTTCTTTTGCTCCAATCTGAATGAAACCTCCTTAGACATACCTGTTGTCTCAGCCACCTCAATCACCATCAACCAGCAGCTTTCCTTTCAGTGTTGGGTCCTGTATTTCTTGGATACTGTGGGTAGCTTCTTCACTCATTTTTGTTAGAGTACATCCTGCAGTTGCTTTCTCAGAGAAGTAAAGTTTTCTCAGGAAAAGGAAAAAAAAAATGATTGCAGGTCTATAGTGATAGTTGATGTTATATGTCAACTTGGCTAGGCTGTGATTCTCAGTATTATGTAATTATCCTCCATTTTGTGATCTGATGAAAGGGGAGTTTCTTTGGGAGTGTGGCCTGCATCCAACATGTATGGATGTTTGGCAAAGCTCTGTTTTGATCCTGCTTCTGATTCATCATCGTCTATCAGTTTAAGGGGGATGTGAGCCAGCAACCTGCTACCTGACCTGCAGATTTTGGGATTTGTCAGTTCCTGCAGCCCCATGAGGCAGCAGCCTGCCATCTGACCTGCTATGTTTGGGTTCATCAGCCCCTATAACCACATGAGTAAGGAGAAGCCTCCAGCCTGATGCCTGACCTACAGATTTGGGATTTACCAGCCTCCACAACTATGTGAGCCATTTCCTTGAAATAAATTTCTCTCTCTCTACGCACACCCACATACACATATATAAATACATATATGCACCCACACATGTATGTATATACATACATGTGTACACACTTACACACATATATACATATATGTACATATATATATATATATGTGTGTGTGTGTGTGTGTGTGTGTGTGTG